ATCCATCCATCCATCCATCCATCCATCCATCCATCCATCCATCCATCCATCCATCCATCCATCCATCCATCCATCCATCCATCCATCCATCCATCCATCCATCCATCCATCCATCCATCCATCCATCCATCCATCCATCCATCCATCCATCCATCCATCCATCCATCCATCCATCCATCCATCCATCCATCACAGCGAGAGCCACTAGTTCTCCAGCGTTCCTCCGCCTGCACCAGCTGAGTGAAGCGAGCGTGCACAGGAGGACTTGCTGTTGCAGATCTTAGAAATTTAAAGCGTCGGTCAAAAACTGCGTATGAATATGGAAAAAAGTATACAAGTCGTTTCAGCGTCTAAGTCGCAGGACTGACAAATCTATGCATAAAACTGCAACATATATGCTGGAAAATATGGTAATCTGCTGCTGTACTAAATTATTAAAGCCACGTTAATAATTGAGCAGTTCACAGTCGTTGCTGGGTGGTGCAGTGGGTTGAGTTGTCGCCTCAAATTAGTAAGGCCGCAGGATCGCCTCCCGCCTGGAGCCTTTCTGCGTGGAGATGTCAACAAACGTTTGTTGACAGTGTAAACACTTTTCTTTGATTCTTTTATCATAAAGATTCACTTTTTCCTTTAATTTTCCCAGTTTCTCTGTAGCTTTATTTATGACATCCACTACAGATGTAACACAGATGTTTGTGTAATACTCCTCGGTCTTTTCTATAAGTTACGAAAAGCAGACGTACTGTACAAGTAAATGTGCAGTTTTTGATGTGCTGTTGAGCCAACGCAGCTGTAAAAACACAAGACAAATGCCGCTCGAGCCGCAGGCCACGCCCAGTTTTTGCATCACGTGCTCACATAACTTCCAAATCCTGGAGATAAGAAACTACTTCCCAGAGATAAAGTTGGTCCTTTACATTTTACAGCTGGAGATGAAAATACATGTAGGAGGAAATGGAGGAAACACATGCACGCACACAAGTCAAGAATTTACACACACCGTGTCTTTTTTTAAAATGTATTTTTTTACAGTCTGACTAGAAACATGTCCAAATTGCAGAAAACATGTCTTTGTTGTCATGGTCACTTCAGGTCACTTCAGGTAAAGTGAAGGAATGCAATGGAGCAACCTTCTGGTTCACTTTAGGGGTCACCACAGTGGATCATTGTCCCCAGCTCACCATATCCCAGGATCCTCCTGTGTTGCACAAACCCTCTGCAGGTCCTCCTTCATTACATCCATCAAATGCTTATCAGAGCAGCGGTTCCTGAACTTTTTAGCATTTGACGTATAAAGTAACAACAGTAGAGGGTTGTAAGGCATTCTTAAAATAAAATAAAAAGAATCTCATTGTGCATCCTTGAAATACAGCATGCAAGTTATTCATCAAATAGTGCTGCTCAACCAGAAATGGTGTACAGTACTACACTTCCTGGCCAAAAAAAAAGTCACCACCAAAAAAAAAAAAGATCACACCCTAATATTTGGTTGGACCACCTTTAGCTTTGATCACATCATGCAGTCGCTGTGGCATTGTTTCGACGAGCTTCTGCCATGTCACAAGATCTATTTCCATCCAGTGTTGCATTAATTTTTCACCAAGATCTTGCATTGATCACTAGGCACTAGGCATGATGGGTGCATCGCTTCACCTGCCTCTCTTCTTACCCTGATGCACCCATCACTCTGGAACAGGGTAAATCTGGACTCATCAGACCACATGACCTTCTTCCATTGCTCCAGAGTCCAATCTTTATGCTCCCTAGCAAACTGAAGCCTTTTTTTCTGGTTAGCCTCACTGGTTAGTGGTTTTCTTAAGGCTACACAGCTGTTCTGTCCCAATCCCTTGAGTTCCCTTCCCATTGTGCATGTGGAAATGCTCTTACTTTCACTATTAAACATAGCTCTGAGTGCTGCTGTTGTTTTTCTTCCATTTGATTTCATTCATCACGATCATTCAGGACTTTTTTTTCTGGCCGCATTTCTTCCTCGAAGACGATGGGTCCCCACTATCCTTCCAGTTTTTAATAATGTGTTGGACAGTTCTTAATCCAATTTTAGTAGTTTCTGCAATCTCCTTAGATGTTTTCTCTGCTTGATGCATGATTTAACCTTTTTTGTGTTGTCTACCTGGATGATTGAGCCTACAAATCTTCTTCTTCTTATGCCAACGATTTGACCCTTCTCAAACAGACGGACATCTTTTCCACGACCACACAATGTGTCTTTCAACATGGTTGTTTAAGAAATGAGAAGCAACTCATTGCACCAGTTGGGCTAAATAACTTGTTGCCAGCTGAAAGATAATCACCCATGAAGTAATTATCCAATATGAGGCTCGTACCTGTTTGCTTAGTAAAATCCAGGTGGAGACTTTTATTTTTGGCCAGGCAGTGTATGTCTTTTGGTGTTGGTATGCCAAATAATCTATCCATCATCATTTACCCACTTCTTCAATTTTAGGTCACTGGTGTCACGGGTGTCCATCTCCAGCAGTCACTGTGGGAGAGACAGGGTACACCCTGGACAGATCTCAGTCCATCACGGGAACACATAGAGACAAACGAACAAACAATCATTCACTCTCTCTCTCACCTCGGGATAATTTAGAGTTACCAATCAGACTAACATGCATGTTAGAACATGCAAACGCCACCCAGAAAGTCCCCTGTCCGAGATTTGAACCGGCGACCTTCTCACTGAGAGGCAGCCGCTCTACCAGCTGAGCCACCGTACTGCCCCAAACTGAAAGATCTAAAAGTTTACTTTGACTTTTTGTTTTGACAGTGATCTCCACCATGGAGGTGCCCAGGAGGCCCACCATCACACTGGTTCTCCCCAAACCAGCTCCGTCTGCTCTGCGCCCCCAAGGAGCAGTGAGGAGGCGCACGGTGACTAATCCAATGAAAGAGACGCTCCTGGAGAGGACGGATACCTTCTCAGGGAAGGACAGCGGAGCTGCTGGAGAGGCTCTACTCAGCTCAGAGGAGGAAACGGCAGAAGGGTCTCCAACTAACTCCTCAAATACAAATTTTGTTCGACCAATTTTAAGGCTGCCCTCACAGGACAGTTTCTCTGAGGAGAGCTTGACATCGGAGGAGAGGCTGGCAGAAGAAGCAGAAGAGGCCAACAAGAGACGTGAAGAGGAGGAAGCAGCAGCTAAAGAGAGGAAAGCTCAGCGGCAGCTGCTGGCCATAGAAGAATTCATCCAGACGGAGAGGAATTACCTCAGAATGCTGCAGATTTGCTCAGTGAACATCAGGAACAACCTGCAGCAACTTCAGGTAAAAGCGAGCTGCAAATAAGCAGAAACATGTAATTTCTTCATTATTGTGGATTGCTTTAAGTATAATCTGTTCAGCTGGTCGTAGTTTTGTTCTTTCCTGAAAGTTTAAAGTGAGGTCTGAACATTTTCTGTCCTCTACAGTGATGGGAAATCTGCAGGAATATGTCTGTTAATTCAAACGTGGAGCAGCTTGAGATGCGTGAAGTTCTTTGATGTTTTAGTCACATCAACAAGTCTGAACAACAATAAAAAGTTAATTCAGTTTAAGTTTATTTCTGTATCACCAAGTCCCAACAGAAGTCATGTCAGAGCACTGAACAGAAACATTCACAATATAAAAGCGAATCAGTAAAAGTTCTGTATCTGAGGAAGCAGCAGATTGTGTTGAAGCTTCACTTCGTCACAGTCTCTCATCCTGAGCGAGCACAAAGGAGACAGTGGGAAGGAAAAACTCCCTTTAACAGGAAGAAACCTGTGGCAGAACCAGGCTCAGGATGAGCAGCCATCTGCTTCGACCAGCTGGGTTTGAGAGAACAGGAAGGAGAAACAGACACAGAATGACAGGTCCAGGTGTGGTTTCTATGGTCCAGGTGAACTTTCTATTGGAGGGAAGACAAAAAACATGTTGAGATAGAAATAATTACAAATACAAACAGGTGGAGGAGAGCAATTAAAGACAGAGGCAGAGTGAGGAATTGTGATCAATTTGTCCTCCAGCAGTCCAAGCCTATAGCAGCATAACTAAGGGATAGCTAAGCAGACCCAAGCCAACCCTAGCTATAGGATTTATCAAAAAGGAAAATCTTAATCCCAGTCTTAAAACTGGACAATGTGTCAGCCTCACGGACAGAATCTGGAAGTTGGTTCCACAAGAGAGGAGCCCGATAACTGAAAGACCTTCCTCCTGTTCTGCTTTTGGAAACTCTAGGAACCACAAGTAAACCTGCAGCCTGAGAGCAAAGTGCTCTGTTAGGAAAATATGGAACAATAAGATCTTATAAGATGGAGCTAGGTCGTTGAGAGCTTTGTAGGTTAGAAGTAAGATTTTTAATTATCGGTATGTTCTGAATTTGACAGGGAGCCAGTGGAGAGAAGCTAAAACTGGAGAGAGATGATCTCTCCCACTAACTCCAGTTAAAACTCTGGCAGCAGCATTTTGGATCAACTGAAGACTTTTCAAAAGTTATAAATCTAAAATAAATAAACCTGTTGGTTATACCTGTTCCAGCTTTTAGAGCACCGGGAAAGAGAAGGCTAATTAATGTTTATTTTTAATTTTAATTGCCTGTCAGTCACACGGTTCCCGAAGAGAAACCAACATGATCACTATGACATCACAAGGAGAAAGACAGAACAGATGTTCAGTCAATCGGCAGGTTCTTTAGTAGCAATACTCAAGATTACTTTATGGTATCATTTCACTTTTTTTTTTCTGCTATTAATGAAAAACCATTATAAAGTGATTGGCATGTAGAAAAATCTGACTAAGAACGAGGTTTTTGCACTAAAAGTTTTGGTTACAGCTCTCCACTGAAAGACGAAGGCGGACGATGACGTGTTTGTGCGTCTAATCTGGTGCCAAAATATAAAAAAATGAACGTACTCAATCTGAAAATGCAAAAATTTAAAGTATATCACCCAGAATATGCCGCTTGCTGAAAGAGTTAGCAGTTTTTAATCTACTGCTCCATGAGTTAGCTGTGCAGCGTCCTCGAGTGCTGCTCAGTGTAAGTTTTTTATCATATCTGAGGTATTTCTGATCACAGGAGAATAATCTTTCATTCTTGCTGTTGGAAGAGAAATGAGGCCTCATAAAACTTTAGGCTGTATGTGCTGGACGTGCTGAGCTGTTGGTGAGCATGAACATGAGACTGAAAGGACCACAAGATAAGTTTAATGGCATTTTGGAGAAATAAAGCTTTTGAAATAAAAAAAAATAAATAAAATCTAAAAGCATTTGAAGAAAGACTTGCTCATTATCACGTTTGAATTGATAAACTGAGTATATTTTATTGAAAAAGGCTTGAAGTTGCACATAAGATAAGATGGTGGGTGAAATACGGAGTGGAGGCAGCAGTGAAGGAGAAAACTGAGTTTCTGCACGAACTCTGTGACACTGACGTCCGATTGTTTCCTGTGAAAATGTGCACATTGTTCTGTTTTCCACTAGTCTGCCCACTGTTGTCTCATTAGAATAAAATGGAGGAGGACAAAACAGATTTAATCGTCTGCAGCTAGCAGCCAGACAAATAGACATTTAGTAAACACTAAACTTTAAACTCGGTGATAACTGCTTAAAGGTCATCACCCAGGCTTGATGTTTCCATGTGTTTGTATTTTGTGTGTAACGTCTTATTGACCTCAGTAAAAATACGTCATGGAGTCGAAATAAGTGCACGAGTTTGTTCAATAGCTGCTATGAAGCACGACTGGAACTCATCGCGTTCATCTTGATAACAGCTGAGGAACATACATGGCGTCTGCACACACAACTAAAATACATTTCCTTCTCTCTTGAGGTCACAAATATTATATTTGTTTCACGTTTGATCTCGTCTCGTTTTTATCAAAAGAAGTTTGTCACTTTGTCACTCACAGATGTGCAATATTTGACCAATTTCATCTAAAAAAAGTTTTATCGTTTATTATAGTATTTATCAGCGTTAAGATTCTTGTAAAAAAAAAAATCTATATTTGGCTTCATGGGGCTCCTTTTAGGCTGCAGTGAAAGCTCCATGTCACAAAAGTGAAGTTTTCCTCAGTGAGGTCGAATGTTTGCGTTCGCCTGTCCTCTCAAGTTTTATCAATATGGTTTAATAAGGGTCATTTCTTCTAAGTCTGGCATGCAGGTCGACTAAAGATAAACAAAAAGCGGAAGATAGATCAGCTGATCAGGGCCTCGTCGTCAGTAATGAGGTTGCTTTGGTTCGGTCGTGGTGAGGAAAGAGTTGCAAAATACAAGCAGCCAAAAAAAAAAGGTTTCCTCAGTAGGGTGGCCATGCAGCTCAGCCTTAGAGATCGGGTGAGGAGCTCCGTCATCTCGGAGTAGAACCGCTGCATGTCCAAAGCAAAAGGACTCAGCTGAGGTGGATCATGTGATTCGGATCATGCCTCCTGGACACCTCCCTTTGGAGGTTTTCCAGTGATGACCCATTGGGAAGAGAACCTGGGTCGGATCTAGAAGTCTCTGGAGGGGTTATATATCCTCTCTGGCCTTGGAACGCTTCGGGGTCCCCCAGGATGAGCTGGATTGTCTCTGGGGGAGAGGTCTGGGTTTTCCTCCTGGACCTGCTGCCTCTGCAACCTGACTACATTGGAGCAATAGAAGAAGACAAGATGGATGAATAAAAAAAAGTTATCTCATATATCGCATATATTTCTAGTTTCCCATAAAACATGTATATACCGTAATTTCTGGACTATTGAGCGCACCCAAATATAAGCCGGGCCCACTGAATAAATAATAATAAAAAAAAATGCAATTTTGTACACATATATATATATATATATATATATATATATATATATATGCCACGCTTGTCTATAAGCTGCAGGTGTCCACGTTGTAACATGAGATGTATATACAGACATTTAAAAAAAAAACTTTAAATTAAATATGTACCAGTAACATACAAATACGTACAGTAAATTTTAGATGAGTCTTCAAGGCTCAATGTGACTTATCTGTCTAAATAAAGGTTGAATGAATGAAAAGTAAATGTTCGTTTTATGAACAGTGCCTGTAATGTTGCAGGTGAAAATAGAGAAATACATAAATACAGTAGCCTACCAGGAAACGCCTAGCTTACGTAGCTTTATTTCCTTCTTCGACAGCCAGATCAATCGCCTTTAACTTGAAAGCTGCATTAAACGCATTTCTTCTTGTGTCTTCCATGACGAGGGTCTGTTCATGAAGCGCAAAATATCTGAAGAACTTAGTGTGAGTGTGTTTGATTTATGGTAATTCCAAGTTTTGTTGGTCCACTGTGACCTGTTCAGTAATTTCATTGGTCAGATTTTTTTTTTTTATACCTTTATTAATACAGGTGGTCAGCTATGTGAGCGCCCAGGTGTGACAAAACTAAATGTTTTGGTGGCATGAAGCTCGTTAGCCCATCAAAAAAAAAAAAAGTTCATAAATTAGCCGCAGCATTGTACAAGGCGCAGGTTCAAAGCGTGTGGAAAAAAGTAGCCGCTTTTAGTCTGGAAATTACGGTAATATAATGTTACAATAACGACAGTCATCTTTTTTTACATTTGTAAATCTACTTTTTCTCCATTTGTTTCCCTTTCATAAAGAATGGTATAACATCTTCTACGTTTGAGAAGAAAAGGCAGAACAAGTGTCTGATAATTTGTACTAATAAAACTCAGGGACGTACAGAGTTTTACAGTTACTGTATATTAGGCCTATTGCAAAAAAAAAAAAATCAGTTAATCACATGATAGATGAAAATTATCAACCTCATTTTCATTTATCTGCTTTATCCTTTCTTCATGTCTCTCTTTCTACTGAAGACACTGGATGACAAAAGGCTCAACTCCGGTGCTCTTCACTGACCCCTCCTTCTCTCTTTAAAATCTGTTTTAACCGTTAAAATAGTGTTTTTCGATCTTTAAAAGCAGCTACGCTGAGAAGCTAAGCTACGAGCTAAGCTAACAGGCCGACCTCGAGAAAAAAAACTGTTTTGTCGAAGCTCCAAAATTCACGGTTGAAACCCGTGCCTTCGTGTAAAAAGTTGTTTTTCGCTGCAAAAAGAAGCTGAGAACTTGTTTACTGAGGTTTTATTAAAAGCGTTTTGTGAAAAATGCTATGTTAAAGAGCTCAAACCACATCGAGCGTCCGCCATTTTGAGAATCTAAAAAAAAGGAAGGAGAGGTAACCCATGTCACGTCAAGGGGCCTCCCTCCCATTTTTCTTAAAGAGACACGCTGCTCGCTCCCTCACTATCTATCCTTGGGTTCATACAGTCTTATACTGCCATCCAGTGGTCAAAAAAGGTACTACATACAAAAATTAACCAACATTTCTTCTTAAATTTGACAATTCGCTCTTATTCGCCTTAGAATCTAGCAGTTTTTTGTTACTTTTCTTTTTTTTTTTAGCCATCCTATTTGTTAAAAAAAAAAAAAAAAATTCTGTATGACATTTTATAACCGTTTGTTGTCGCTGTTGTCCACTGTTGTCATCTTTCTTTGTTGAAATCAGGTCTCTCTTGTAAATGAGTCCTCGAGGCTCAATGGGATTTACCTGTCGAAATAAAGGTTGAATGAATGAAAATTTACTAATTATTGTCAAATTTCAAACAATATTATCGTTTATCGCAATAATTTCTGAGACAATTAATCGCCCAGCAAAATTTGTGACAGGCCTATTGTATATACTCTCTATATGCAGCACGAGTCCAGTCTGCAGTTTGACAACATAATTCTACAGTACAGTGTAATTTATTGCACGTTTGTGTTTATTATCTTTTTTCAACCAAAGCCTCCTCCAGCCAACCTGAACAGCTTGTTCCTCTACATCGAGGAGGTGATGGACGTGTCGAGCAGTCTCCTCAGTCTGTTGGACCAACAGCATCTCAGGCCCGAAGACCCGCTCTTCTTAGAAACTCTCTGTAAGACAACATCTAACAGCTTTTTGAATAAATATCACTCCTACCGATTGGGTTTATTGCTGTTTTCTGATGCGAGCCTGTTGGATTTTCAACGTAAAAAAGGAAGGTTGTTGCTTTTTGACTAAATGTGCCGTGTCTTCTTGTTGACTGGGAACGACACGCTTGTGGTTTGATATGGTTTCCACATTTGTGGTGAGCCGTTTATGGCAAACAACTTCTAAACCATTTACCGTAGTTTCCAGTCTATAGAGGGCACCCGAATATAAGCCACGCAGACTAAATAATAATAATACATAAAAAAAATACAATTTTGTACAGAAGTACGCTGGTGTATAAGCCGCGGTGTTCAAAGCATGTGAAAAAAGTAGTGGCTTATAGATTGGCAATTACGGTATTGTATATATTGTATTGTGATTAAAAGCTGAAGCTCCTCCAAAAATTCTGCCTTTTTAAACGTTTTTATGACATAATTCTGCCTTTTTTTTTTAAATTGATTGTTTTCACAGAGAAGACTTTAGTCTTTTAAAACATTTTTCTCGTGCTTTATGTGATTCCTGTATATAAGAAGTAAAACTGTGTGTTTTTTCCTGACAGGCACATCATTCCTCAGCCTGTCTTCAGACATTGAAGCAGCCTATAAGGAATACTTGACTAACTACAACAACACGTCGTCGGTGGAGAACGGCTACAAACAGAAAGCAGCACTTTGGAACGAGATGATCAGAGTCATTAGGGCCTCAGCGTAAGCTCAGTCTATTTCTTTATCTCCCATTAGATCCAAAGCTCCTAAAACAGAAAGTAAACAGTAAAACTATCATATAAAACATGTAATATTTATTTACTTGTTTATTTTTCCTCCATGTCTCCAGGCCCGAGGTTAACGCCCCCTCCCTGAGTTTCTTCTTGGTGATGCCGGTGCAGCAGATCACGCGTTATCCCCTCCTCCTGCAGACCATCCAGAAACACACGGAGCCCACTCACCCGGCGTACAAACTCCTGGAGGAGACCGCTCACACCTCCATCGCCTTAAACTGCCGCATCAATGAGTACAAGCGCTTCCGAGAAGTCGGTAAGACGGCAAATGTTGGCCTTCCAATCAAAAAGAACGTTGCTCAGTGCAAAGACTTTCAGTTTAAGTGTTGAAGGTGTTTGTGATTTTCTTTTTGCAGCTGATAAATACAAAAAGACAGAATCTTTGACCATTATGGACAAGATCAATCGCCTCAACACCCACAGCATCGCAAAGAAGACCGCGAGGTTCAGCCAGCAACTAAAACATGAGACTGGAATGGCACCGAAGGTGGGATTTTATTGTGGAAACCAGACACCTTATTACCCCGTGGTAGCTAACAGAGCTGAGCTTAATCCAGAAGGATCAATGAAGCAACACATGAACGCTGTGTTTTCAAAACGCATGGTCTCTGAGCAGTAAAATCCTTCTATCATCACATACCGAGCCATCAGCTGCACCTCAGACGTTGATGATTAACAGGATCAAGATATGAACCGGTGTTAAAGCAGCTGTTTACTCTGCTACACTCCTTTTTTTTCTTACAGTTTTCAGGTCTGATCACATAATCCTGCCTGAAATAACTGATCTGTGCTGCATCTATTCATGTTTTTGTTGCTAATGACCGACAATCATTAAAATGTTTTGTAAATCCGGTGTAAAAGAACAAAAAGAGGACGAGTTGTGAAAGCGGGAAATGATAATGATAAATACAACCAACACATTTAAACGACATTTTCAAAGTCCAGGTTTTATGGAAGTTTAAATCTATGTCGAGTAATTACCAGGAGTCACATCAATTAAAATCCATCCATCCATTATCTTTTACCAGCTTCTTTCGTTTTGGGTCACGGGGGTCACTGGTGCCCATGTCCAGCAATCACTGTGCGAGAGTTGGGGGACACCCTGGACAGGTCCCCAGTCCATCACAGGGACAGACAAACAACCATTCACTCTCTCACTCACACCTAGGGACAATTTAGAGTTACCAATCAGTCTAAAATGCATGTTTTTGGTCTGTGGGAGGAAACTGGAGTACCCGGAGAAAACCCACGCATGCACGGAGAGAACATGCAAACTCCACCCAGAAAGGTCCCGGGCCGAGATTTGAACCGGCGACCTTCTCGCCATTTCAAATCCTGTGTTTAATCTCCTTCAGTAACTAAATAAAGACGGTTGTTATAGTTTAACCCAAGCTTTAAAACCTTTTTGTTTTTACAATCTCTGTTGTACATTTGACCATCAAAAAATGTTAACTTTAAGGCCCTTTTCACATGACAGGTTTAAAAAAAACAAAACAAAAACAGAGCTTCTCTACCACGTACAACAGCCAAACCGAAAGTTTCTGGATCCAGGTCTCAGAGCGGCAGTTTTTGTGGGGGATCCCCCGTGGAGGTGTGAAATGCTCTGCAGGCGGCTGCGGTCAAAGGTTTTTTTCTTTTAAACTCTAACATTATTTACAATAAATGGCAGAGATCAGAGTGTTTTTGTGCTCCACCATTTTCCAGCATGGAGGAGCAATCAAACAACATCCTTGGTCCAAAGGAACATTCGCGTATTCACCAGTTTAGATGTAACTGTTGCTGCTGATCACTCGTGATGCATGCAGATGCAGCCGAGCCCGGCAACAGCATTGGCACATAAAGATAGTTCCCCCCCCCCCCCCCACACACACACACACACACACACGCACACACACACACACAACCTCCTTTTTTCCTCACATATTCACCAAACACACACCTCGTCTTACACACCCTCCTTCTGAGAAAGCACACCCTGACTCAGCACATATGACAGTTTAGGTCAAAAAAGTTTTAAAGCGACAGCAACAAAAGTTATTGATTTTGTATCATATCTATTTATTTTATGTTTATTTGTCAGACTCAACATTAAAACAACACTTTCTGTATGTTTAGAGGACATTCTAGTGTAAACAGGATTTAAAGTAAACAAAAAAGCAACTGACAGAAATGTAATTACTCGACTCGATATTTGATATTCAGCTTCTTTTCACCCCATAAAAGTACCTCCAGGGTTTCATGTTTTTATATATCCTACTTTATAAAGTACTTCTATCTCTCGTAGCTTGTGGACGAGGAGTTTGACGCCCTTGAAGGTTTCTTTAACATTCTGGAGAACGGGATCCTGGTTCTTTTGGAGAACGTGGAGACATACCTGCTCCACTTACAGGTATTTCAAGTTTCTTTGTCAAATTAAAATATCACAGTTTGAGGATTAATTTAGAGCGGGGCTAGTCAACTAAATTGCTCAGGGGCCACAGTTACTGAAAGCCGACAGCTCAAGGGACGGACATCCAGTTATTGTCATCAAGTTTGTTTTATGGTTTAAAATCTAGTTTTATTTAATTATGAACCCATTGGTGGGCCGAACTGAGCTCACCCGTGGGCCTCATTTGGCCCCCGGGCCACCACTTTGAATAGCCCTGTGAATTATGTGGCTACACTGTCAGCACAGACTCCCCTCCACCCTTTTTTATAAAAACACAAGGAGTTTATCGTGACGAGGATGGCTGAAGAGCCAGAGATCAGTGTGGGGCTCCACCCTTCCTCGTATGGATTGTAGACATAATAAACCGTTGTCCTTGATCAGGACCTCGAACTCCAGAGTCGAGATGGAAGCTGAATGTGAAACAGGTTTTCTGTGTTGGCCGTCACCCTGCAGCCTCATCAGATCCAGACTCTTAATCTACTTACCTCGCCTTTTCCTTCCCTCAGACAGAGGCCTTGTCGCCTCAGCGTCCACATAAACGGCTCGCGTGTCCTGCACATTCCTCAAATAGCATTTAATGAATTAAACCAGCGTCTGCCCAGAGACCTGAGTAAACCTTTCAGTGTAAATAATATATATATTTTTTGGTCTGCAGAGGTTTCTTACCTGCAAAACAGAAGAGTTTGACTTTGAGATGGATGGAGAGAAGACCCCCATTTGCTACAAAGAGATCACCACCGCTCTCAGACAGTGGATCCTTCCAACATTTGTAAGTTTCACTGCTGGACGAGGCGCTCTGATATAGGCCTGTCGCGATGAACAATAATTAATCGCATAATAAATTAAAATTATCAACCTCATTTTCTTTTATCGGCTTTATTGTTTCTTCGTGTCTCTCACTTTCTACTGAAGACACTGGATGACAAAAAGCTCAACTCCGGTGCTCTTCACTGACCCCTTCCATTTTCTTTTCTTTAAAATCTGTTTTAACCGTCCAAAATCGCGTTTTTTGATCATTAACAGCGGCTAAGCTGAGAAGCTAAGCTACAAGCTAACAGGCCAACCTCAGGGAAAAAAAACCTTCTTGTCAAAGCTCCAAAATTCACAGTGTCTTTGTGTAAAAAGTTGTTTTTCTCTGCAAACAGAAGCTAAGAATTGTTTACTGATATTTTATTAAAAGCTTTGTGTGACAACTGCTATGCTTAAGAGCTCAAACCACACCGGGCGTCCGCCATTTTGAGAACTGAAAAACAGGAAGGAGAGACAGCTCATGTCACGTCAAAGGGGCCTCCCTCCCATTTTTCTTAGAGACACGCTGCTCGCTCCCTCACTATCCATCCTTTGGTTCAAATAGTCTTATACTGCCATACAGTGGTCATAAAAAGGTACTACACACAAAACAAATTACCAACATTTCTTTTTCAATTTGACAATAATTACTAATTATTGTCAAATTTCAAACAATATTATCGTTTATCACAATAATTTTTGAGACAATTAATCGCCCAGCAAAATTTTTTTATGTGACAGGCCTACTTGGATATGATGGGGAAAGAAAAAGCATTCAAAGCCAACATTTTACTTCCTTTCTTTTAGGAAGGAAGGATGAGGACGTTGATTCACAAGCCTCTGTGTGCGCTCCGTGACCTCCTGGTGGGCCCGAGAAACCTGATCAAGAAGAGACTCGACAAGCTGCTCGACTTCGAAATGATCGAATCCAAATCTAATCTTAGCTACGAGGAACAGGCTGTGGCCAACACATACAGGTACGGACAGAGACACTAGTTTAATTTAGGTCTCGTAAAATTCTGTTCATAACTTTTATGGAGAGAATTTCTCGGTGCAGCCAGGGGGCGGGGGGAGTCCGGTTCGGTGACCTCAGGATTCCTTCTCTGCTATTTGCAGACGATGTGGTCCTGTTGGCGTCATCGTGCCGTAATCTTCAGCTCTCACTGGAGCGGTTCGCAGCCGAATGTGAAGCGGCTGCGATGAGAATCAGCACCTCCAAATCTGAGGCCATGGTCCTCAGTCAGAAGAGGGTAGATTGTTCTCTTCAGGTCGAGGGTGAGGTTCTGCCTCAAGTGGAGGAGTTCAAGTATCTCAGGGTTTTATTCATGAGTGAGGGAAGAATGTGTGAGATTGACAGACAGATTGGTGCAGCATTTGCAGTATTGCGGACTCTTTGCCGGTCCGTTGTGGTGAAGAGGGAGCTGAGCTGTAAGGCAAAGCTCTCTTGTTTACTGCTCGGTCTACGTTCCTACCTTCACCTATGGTCACGAATTCTGGGTAGTGACAGAAAGAATGAGACTGTGGATACAGGCGGTTGAAATTAGTTTCTTCCGCAGGGTAGCTGGACTCTCTCTGAGAGATAGGGTGAGAAGTTCAGTTATTCGGGAGAGACTTGGAGTTGAACCGCTGCACCTCCACATCGAGAGGAGTATGGAACTTTTGACAGACGTCATTTAGTTGTTTTAAATACAAACGTGCCTTTTTGTCCCTGTTCGCTGTTAGGACAATCAACACTTTGCTCCTCAACGAGCTCCCTCGCTTTAACGGTCTGGCCCTGCAGATGATCTGGAGCATGTTGGGGACGTTCAGCTGCCTGCACAAAGACCTCGCTGCAGACATGGAGCAGCTGTTCCAGAGCTTTGCGCAACAGGTATGAGCCTACAAGCACCAAGAAAAGGCTCGTGTTGGGAAATGATTTGTTGTATCTGCCTTCGTATGATCCGTCATGTCCATGTGTGTCATTGCAGCTACCTCACAGCTCTCTCGACCCCAGTGCATTCTGGGCGTGGGCGGAGTCTGAAGTGCTTGAAAGTGGCAGGAAGCTGCAGACGGTGTGTCAAAGTGTGGAGGACACACTCAACGCGCCAGCCGTGCAGGTTGGAGTTGGATTACTAAAGTTTTGTTTGTTTTTAGAGCTGTAGACTGTCGGGACGGTTTTGTTTGTTTAGTTTGAATGATTTTCCTCCCTGCAGTTCCAGATTAGTGAACTAAAACAATGGAAGGGAAGAAACAGACCAACAGGGTTCACAAAGGACCAAATTAACAATGATAGTATTTCAATTATCTGCAAAACACGCCTGCTGTTTGTTCACTAATCTTACTGGTATTGTAATAGTTTTTATTGGTCATATTGGCAACAATCCGCTTCCATAACACAGATACTATTTTTATTTTTTGTATGATTTGGTAGTCTTAACTACTTCTGCATACTTTGCAATATTTTAGCCATTCATAAATCAAAACTTTCAGCTCATTTGGAAGATGAGATTCTTTATAAATAAAATATTTCAATTAGGGAAAAAATTCAAACCAACATTCCTAGTATCGCCTCTGGTTCTGTGTCAGATGAGACGACTTCTGTTTTAACTTGCCGCTATATAAATAAACTGAAAACTGAATTGAGATGGGTGCTGGGACTTTTGGTTATTTTAACATATGTACTTTACAAAATTTTAAACTTTATTTACAAACTTTTTCCATAAAAGTACATTAGCTCGTCAATTCCTTCATACATAGTGTTCTTTTTGAAATCTGCTTCGGTAAATTGGCTCTAATTTTCATTCATTCAACCTTTATTTAGACAGGTTAATCCCACTGAGCGGTTAATCCCACTGAGCCTTCACGAATTTAAAGAGCCTTTAAGAATTGACTTTCTTATAGCATTTAGCTACTGTTCTGCCACTTCTATGACTAAGCTAATTTAGCTGTCTTCTGTTAGTTTAAGCTTTTAGCTAACATTCTGGTAGTTTGAGCATTTAGATCATCTTTTTTTATATTTAACTTTTAGCTACCTTTTTGCTACTTTTCGTTTTGCTAGCCTTTCGATACTTTAGCATTTTCTATTTATTAGCGACTTTTACATTTTGCTTAATCATTTGTATGTTTTAGCTTTTAGCTAGCATTTAGCCACACTAAACATTTAGCTAGTTTTTTTTGCTACTTTTGGCTTTTATGTTTTGATTTCATTAGCTTTTGCAACATTTTCAGTTTTCTTAGCATCTTATGCTTCTTATCCCTTTTAGCTACTGTTCTGCTACTTTTATGACTTAGCTAATTTAGCTGTCTTCTGTTAGTTTAAACTTTTAGCTACTCTTCTTGTAGTTTGAGCATTTAGATAACTTTTTTTATATTTAGGTTTGAACCAGCTTTTTGCTACTTTTAATTTCTAGCTAACTTTTGACACCGTAGCTTTTTCCTAGTTATTAGCGACTTTTACATTTTACTTAATCATTTTTGTTGCTTTTAGTTTTTTGCTAGCTTTTTGCTACTTTTGGCTTTCATTTTCTGATTCCGTTAGCTTTAGCAACAGTTTCAGGATATTTTTAGCCAGTTTCAGCTAAGTTATTCTGATCTCTGCATTCTCTTTTACAGAAAATGCTAATTTTCTTGAGTCTATTTAGTTTATAATAATGTTCATAACCTGATACTGCAGCAACTCATATCCTCATTCTCACTTTGTTTTATTTCTATAACGTGATCATATAATTTAAACTCTGCTCCAAACTAGCATTACAAAAGATGAGAAAACCCACGAGGTTTTTATTTAATTAAAACCTTCTTTAGTTTTCGTGGCTCTTCAGGTGTTGCTAGAAATGAGTGAACATTTGATCAACTCTTAGTTACATGTGATCAATATGGCCTCATGTCTTCCTTAAACCAAAATAAATAAACTTTAACTGAGCCACAGCTGCTTGTATTTGCTTCTGTACTTCTCGTTAAAAGCCTTTAAGTCAGTCCCAGACATTGAAACTTGTCGGACAACTTGCACAGTAACCTTTCTGAGACGGTGAACGTGCACTCACGCAACGTTTTGTTTGAGGTTTAAAAATAACCTCTGAATAAATGTTGGTATTTACCGTGTTCCTGCAGCGCGTTTCAGCTGAGGAACTCGTCAAGTCCTGAAACATTCAGAACAGTCTCTTCAGCTTCATGTCATTCCAGAGTAATTACACCTCAGTGATGAACGTCAAGGTTCAGAATGTGCTTCTTCTTGTTCTGCAGCTTTTTGAATCACATTAAATACGTCCACAAATTCACAGGATGTTTAAAAACTGAGCTGTTATTAGTGAGAAATGTTATGTGTGATTAACATTATGTGTGTTATTTTTTATGACTTCTATTTATAACCTTCTACTGTAAAACCGGGATATATTAATGGGGTGCTGTTTGTAAAGTTACACAGTCAAACATTAACAGCAATATTTTGGTTTATTTAGCATTTCATAAGAGGCTAATTAAAAGTCATATTTTCACCATGTTATTCATACATTTATAAATGTCACAATTCCAAACTAAATATTTAATTTACAAGCTAAATTTTAGTTTACAAACTAAATACTTAACTTATAAGTTACATATTTATTTAGCAAGCTAAATGTTTTGCTCCACACTAAATATTTAGTTTACAACTAAATGTTTATGTTCAAGCTAAATGTTTAATTTACAAACTAATATTTAATGTGCAAGTTAAATATTTAGTTAGCAAGCTAAATATTTAACTAGCGAATTAAATATTTATGTCCAATCTAAATATATTTTTGAAATTACATGTTTAGTTTTGGCCCCTCGCACTGTGATTGCTGGACATGGACACTGGCAACCCCCGTGACCCAAAATGGAAGAAGTGGGTAAAAGATAATGGATGGATGCTTATTTTGGAAATTAAATATTTAGGTCCGAGCTAAATATTTAGTTGCCAAAATAAATATTTAGTTCAGGAATTTAATGTTTAGCATAGAAATTAAATATTTAGATTGGACAATAAATATTTAGTTTAGAAATTAAGTGTTTAGTTTTTAAAATAAATATTGAGCTTGGAAATTAAATATTTTATTTACACCTAAATATTTAGTTCACTCACTCACCACAGTTTGTAAATTAAACATTTATCTTGGACATAAATATTTAGTTTGTAAACAAAATATTTAGTGTGAAGCTAAATATTTAGCTTGCTAACTAATATTTAACTTGCAAGTATTTACATTGTTAACTAAATATTTAGCTTGTAATTTAAATATTTAGTTGGTGAACAATGACAAATGTATGAATGACATGGTGAAAATATGACTTTGAAAAAAAAAACTATTTTATTTTTATGAAAGGCTAAATAAACCCAAATATTGCTGTTAATTTTTGACTGTTTAACTTTACAAATGGCGCCCCATATATATCAGGACTGTTGTTTCGTCTTTCTTCTGGCTATTTCTGTCATTTCCCTTTTATGTCACACTCCCTAAATAAAAATTAATTTCCATCTCGCTCCATTTTGATTCACACCTATCGTTGTGTGAATGTTCGTAAATTATTCTGAATATTGAGATCCATTTTTCTTTTGTACGTTTTTCAGCACGTTCCACGATTTTTGCACCATTTCAACAGTTCATATCTCAAAACGTTCAGCTCATTCAGCACATTTCTGCTGAGACTTTTGGTTTTTGTGCAATTTTAACTTTCTGAAATATTTATCTTTGTCGGCCATGTTTTTCTCATTGAAAATGAGAATAAAATGAGGTCTTCACATCCTTCAAACCCTTTTACTGCTAGTTTCAGCTTTTATTCTGGCCCATTACAGCTTTTTTCAGATATTTTTCTGCTCTTTTGTGACTCTTCCTGCTAATTTTAGCTTATTCTTTATAGCTTTTTCAGCTACTTTTTGTGCTACTTTTAGCTTTTTTTCTGTTCATTTCAGGTTTTTTTGTTGCTAATTTCAGAGTTGTAATCTATTCAGTTTGTTCTGCTCATTTCTGCTCTATCAGCTTTTTCTACACATGTCTGTTTTTATTTTTCCTGCTTTCATCAAATGTCAGCTGTTCAAATTCATCTCACATTAGCAGTTTAGCGATGAAACCTCCTCCGTTGGTTTCAGCAGAAATCGTTCAGCAAAAAGCATCCGCCCTGCATTTTCACAGGAAATGACGTTTCTCTGGTTCATTCTGATTTTGTCTTCCAGCCTCTGAGCCCGTCCTCTCAGCGGCGCCTGAAGCAGCTGACAGAAAAACACGGGTCAGGAAAGATCTACCAAGTGATGAGCACAGTGGTGGGCAGCCGGGACCTGGATCTGAACCTGACCAAGGGGGAGTTGGTGGCCATAATCAGCGAGGCAGACACCCGCGGAGACAAACGGAGGTGGCTGGTTGATGCTGGAGGTGAAAACTTATAGTCAATCTTCCATTCATTCCACAGGTGACCACAAAACGACCAGAGCAGGAAGTCTGCACCAAACTGCAGCATTTTCTTTAATTGTAGGATATTGCTGCCGTCTTGTGGTTGATTACTTTTACTACATTGAAGCGTTGCTGTTATTACAGATGCAGTGTTTTTGCAAACCTTGTTGTTATTAGAAGATATTTTTTGGGCTGCTCCAAAATAAAAATGGAGGTTAGCACAGTGAGCGACGTTATGGAAATAGTTTTAACCCAAATGTCCAACTTTTTTTGGGGATTTAAACTTTTCAGCAGTTCTGGGTGTGAGAGCCCATTTTATTTAGCTAGATAGGAGCAGATGTTGTATAAACTGTTCTATATTAATAGGCCCTTCCAGGTAAATGAGCTGCCAATGCCAGCGATGTTTATGCACCCCCATACCATCAGAGAGGCAGGTTTTTGACCTGTGTGCACTGATAGACTGGATGGTCCCTCTCCTCATTAGTAGGTGGTGTCTGGGGGAAATAAATAAATAAACAAATAAAATTTGGATCCGTCTGACCACAGAACAGTTCTCCACTTCATCTCAGTCCATTTTAAACGAGCTCTGGTCCAGAGAAGGCAGCAGTGGTTCTGGATGGTTCACATTTGGCTTCTTCTTTGTCTGATAGAGCTTTAAGCAGCATCTGTGGATGAAATGCGTTTACAGACAATGATCTGTGGAAGTGGTCAGAACAGAACCAGACCTGGTCTCCGAGTTCCCGGAGATCACGACCGTCCAACGTTGACCTTCAGCCTCGTCCTTGGAGCTCAGAACAATTAAAAACTTTTGACATCAGCTCTAGATGATGGTGGATTCAAACGCCTACTAATTTTCCATTGATGAACATTGTTTTGCAATCGTTCTGCTGTTCTGAGACGCATTATTTCACTCTGGAAAACATTCATCTTTACTTCTAAGAGATTCAGTTTCTCTAAAACTCTTTTAAACCCAGTCTTCTTACTGACTTGTTGCCAGTTAACCCAGTTAGTTTCAAAATGTTTCTCCGGCTCCAGTGATACTTGCACAGTGTTTTATTGACCCCGTCCTGTTCTGAGATGTGTTGCTGCCGTAAAATATAAACTTACATTTTTATTTTTTTCTCCTAAAAACGCTTCAACATTTTATGTTTCCTGTGTTCCACTGCAAATGTGTTTGACATTTGTAAACCATTGCATACTGGTTTACTGACATCGAAACAACTTCTCCGTGTTTTCAGAACAGGGATTTTAGTAGCTAAGTGGAAAATATTGGTTCAATTTGTTGTATGATGGAAAAATTAGTCTATTAATGGGGACTAATTTATTTTGGTTTCAAGTGAGTGTATCTCAAGCTCAACAGAATCCAGTTTAAATCAGATAAACGGGAACACCTGAAGTATTCATGAATCACCCGAGTTTAAATCTGTTTTTCAGGCAGGAGAGGCTACGTTTCTTCCTCGAAGCTCGTCCGTTATCACCAAGCGATGGTGGACCCGCCCCCGTCACCACTCCTGAACATCCCAGTAGACGTGACGGGAGCGAGAAGGCACTCCTACACACCAGAAAGCAAACCAGTTCGTGCTGTGAGCCAGCCTTGCTTTCAGGTATTTTTACTGGCTTTAAATAACTCCTTACTTATTAATTCACATATACAGTACATGTTCTTCAACCTGTTGATTGTGCAGTGCACCTTTCATCAGTTGTTACTTCAGTACAATAAGACTTGGCATTTGAAGGGACGTTTGTAAGATGGTGGTGATAAATCATCTGAAATGCACTGTTGGTCTAAAAGAGCTAGCCGTTAAACTCAGGATCTGTTGCACGCTGAAGACTTCTTTAAACAATAAAAAGAGGTCAGCTTTGTCTCAGACTGTTTATGACAGACCTCAGGCTCATGCAGTGGGTTTCAATTACCGTATTCTTCAGACTATAAGTCGCTCTTTTTTTTTTCATCGTTTGGCCAGTCCTGCGACGTATAGTCCGAAGCGACTTAAATGTTCATTCATGCTGACATGAAGCAAAGAGTAAACATTACCATTTGCAGCCACAAGAGGGCCCTTTAGGCTTTTGACAACTATAAGTTGCTCCTCGTGCTATGCCCCTCCCCCTCCATCTTCCTCCGGAGTTGGCGGAGTTGTTCAGAAGCGACACCGAGGATGGTAACATGCTTGTCGGACTCGTTGGCTTGTTATGTTAATTAAGCGTGTTCAGGATCCCAGGTATGTTCTGTGTGCGCGTGCCGCTCGCGAACATATAACTATTGGGAGCGCAAGTCCACAGGGGTGGGCGCGCAACCTGTGTGTGTGTCTCTGCTGTGACAGACAGACTCAGAACAGGAATGGAGGGGGTGTCTTTCTTTCCCCCATCGCTACCGTGCAGCTTCAGTGAGACCTGAGCGAGACCGGGCAAGAGCGGCTTGTTTATTTAACAAGAACTTTAGGGAACTGGTGGACCGCTTTGTGGCATGGTGTGGAAACAATCATCTCATCTTGAATGTGAACAAAACAAAGGAGGTGAATGTAGATTTCAGGAGGAACGGGTCCAACCCTATTTCCATCATGGGAGAAGAAGCGGAGGTGGTGGAGAAGTATAAATACCTTGGGGTTCACCTGGACAGACTGGACTGGAGATGCAACAGTGAAGCGTCTACAAGAAGGGACAGAGCAGACTGTACTTCTTGAGGAAGCTGAAGTCCTTCAACGTTTGCAGCAAGATGCTGCATATCTTCTATAAGTCTGTTGTAGAGAGCACTGTCTCTTCTGCCATCATCTGCTGGAGGAGCAGCACCAGAGCAAGTGACTTCAAAAAGATCAACAAGCTCATAAAGAAGGCTGGCTCAGTTCTGGGGACTCCTCTAGAACCTTTGGAGATGATTGTACAAATAAGGATTCTTCATAAAATGAAGAACATTACAGACAACCCTCAGCATCCTCTTCATCAGACTGTCATACAACACCAGAGTGTCTTCAGTCAGAGGCTTCTTCAGATCCGTTGTAGGACAGACCGCTACAAGAGATCCTTCCTGCCCACAGCCACCAGCATCTAGAACAACGCTTTAATGAAACCAGGACGATGAGTTACAACATTTAATTTTCCTCTGGGATTAATAAAGTATTTTTGAATTGAATTGAAAGAATAAAGCGCGACCTGAACCGAACCTTTAATCCAGTCCCTCGGCGACCACTGAGCACCAGGCCACCGGGAAATGTCCCGGCGCTCCCGACGGTCAGTCAGCCCCCGTGTGTTATTGTTATTTCAGATTAAATGTCTTTTCTTGCACTTTGTGAAATACGCTTCTAAATAAATGCAACTTATGCTCCGAAGCGACTTAGATGTTTTTTTTTCCTCTTCATGATGCATTCTTTGACTGATGCGACTTATATTCTGGAGCGACGCACAATACGGAAAATACAGTATATTTAAATTGTAAGCATGTGCTTAATTTTCTAAATTAGGCATTTCAGAACCTTGTTTGCAGTCCAGAGAGTCGACTGATCAACGAGTTTACTGAAGCTAAAGCATCAATCTGTCACCCGCTTCAATGTGTTTGTTTGAGTCAAGAGGTAAAAGATTAGAGTTAAACGTTACAGTCCGAGGCTGTTCAGACTTGATTTTAACACTACCCAATTGCAATGGGTCCTGTGATGGACTTGCAACCTGTCCAAGGTATACTCCACCCCCGATGACCACTGGAGATAGACTTCAGCTCTGCTGTGACCCTGCACAGAAAAGCAGGTGAAGAAATGGATGGATGCAAGCAGATAGCTAAAAACAGTTTAAAATGACCAACAACCTCCGAGGGCGTATGCATCGTATCGGTTTGTGCTCTCGCTGCAGGTAGGAAGCAGTTTGTGCATGTTATTAATGGAAAGGTTTATAATTAGCTGCTTAACCTTGTAAGTCGGTTATTGTGTGAAGGGCTGAAAGTTAATTTATGTGACAGCAGGCTAAAGCTTTCTGTGTGTGCGTGTTGCTGGATTGATTTACATCTGCAACCATTTGAGTGTGAGAGATGGGGTGTCAGGGCCTGTAAATTTGAAATGCTTTATGGGAGTGTGTTCATGAGTGATTCTGGTGTGCATTTGTGTGTGCATGTGGATGTGTAGGGACCTGTGCACGTGTGACCGAGATTTGCCTTGCCAGTAAAAATAAGTAATTGCTCCTGTGACCTTATACAGGAGGTTTTTCCTCCTTGCGCTCATGCTCTATGACCAAAAGTCTGCTCATACACAAAAAACAAAACAAAACACACTCTGTCTGTTTTGTTGTAAATGAATGAAACAATTTATTGTCCATTTATTGACATTACTGTTAACTCTTGTGTTTCAGTTAAAGACATTTCAGCAGCGGTGGGCACAGTTACGCTAATCCGCTAACAGCTAATAGCAGAACAAATTTTTAGTTTAGCGGGTTAGCATTTTTGCTATCTTTGGAAACCGTTCTGCTAAATTAGGTTCCGCCAATTTTAGATCCGCTAAAAATATTCACAAGTTTGTGGGCGTGTCTTGAAGAGTCTGTTACGGACGCTATTGGCTGACTCCGTGTACACGTGAGAAGACGTGATTGGCTGACACAGCTTCAACTATGATGAGCTACGACAACACTTAATTTCCCTTTGGGATTAATATCTTTGAACTGAATTGAATTTGGTTGGTTAAAAAATGCACGATATCTGTAAATTGTTTCAGTCCACCCATCAGACACATTAAAGTCATTTACTGATTGAATTTAAAGTTCTGGACTGACAGAAATGAAAATGTAGCCACTGCTTGATCACTTTTGCTCTGGCCTCGATAACCACTGTCCAGTGTCCACAACCTATTTATGAAATTCACGTCCAATTCGAATTGCCGGCCACACATTATGGATCCAGCGGCCACTCCTCACAGACATGCAGAGAATATTTTCTACCAGGTTTAGTCAGAAATCTCAAAGAAACTAACATCACTGTAAAATTTCAGCCTGCTTTATTTAACATTTCAAACCACGCAGGAAGTCAGTCCTGTACATGTTTCATGACCACATACCAGCACCGTAAATTGTCTCTGCCTCCTTGATCCCCCCCCCCCCCCCATCAGATAATACCAGTCTGGCTTTGTAACATGAATCCCTTCTCAGCCGAAGGCCATGGTCACTTCACTTTTTCCTGCCCGTCACTGCCTGGCAAAATGTTAATTAAATGCTAATTGGTGTAGACTGTCAGGGCAGAACTAATGTTGTAGCCGAGAGGAGGGCTGAGGTGAAGGGTTTGTTAATGACACCGAGCAGCCAGCTATTAGCACTGCTGGGGTGCTCCGTCACACCAACACGAGGCTCATTAGGGAGGCTTCGTCCCGTGGATGTGGGAGTGTGGGGTGATGAGCTTGGGATTTGTCAAGACATAACTAGTGGGCTTAACCTTTTCACAGAATCTCACAACGATGAGTGGTGCAGAGCGTTTTCAGTTGTTCCTGCACATTTTCTCTCATGCTTCCTTTTTAAATTTCAGTTAATGGCAATTTGAGATGTTTGCAGTTGTTTGGTGTGAGTGCAAACATTAAAGTCGGTACCACTCAGACTGAGTCACGATGAAAAGAAGGTGCAACCTCTATTTTTATCAGTCTCAAGTAAGCCTGTAAACTATAAATCAATTAATCGCATTATAAAATAAAATTATCAACCTCATTTTCATTTATCAGCTTTATCGTTTCTTCGTGTCTCTCTCTTTCTACTGAAGACACTGGATGACTCAACTCCAGTGCTCGTCACTGACCCCTCCCTTTCTCTTTAAAATCTGTTTTAACCGTCCAAAATCGCGTTTTTTGGATCGTTAAAAGCAGCTAAGCTGAGAAGCTAAGCTACGAGCTAAGCTAACAGGCCGACCTCGGGGGAAAAAAACCTCCGTCTTGTCGAAGCTCCAACATTCACAGTTGAAACCCGTGCCTTCATGTATAAAGTTTTTCTCTGCAAAAAGAAGCTGAGAACTTTTTTTTACTGATTTCTTATTAAAAGCTTTGTGTGACAAATGCTATGCTAAAGAGCTCAAACCACACAGAGCATCCGCCATTTTGAGCACTGAAAAACAGGAACGAAAGACAGCCCATGTCACGTCAAGGGGCCTCCCTCCCATTTTCTTAAAGAGACGCTGCTCGCTCCCTCACTATCCATCCTTGGGTTCAAACAATCTTATGCTGCCCTCCAGTGTTCAAAAAAGATACTACACTCAAAAAATTAACTATTTCTTCTTAAATTTAACATTACTAATTATTGTCAAATTTCAAACAATATTATTGTTTATCGCAATATTTTCTGAGACAATTAATCGCCAGCAAAATTTGTTATTGTGACAGGCCTGTCTCAGGGTTTTCTGGCCCTGAGCCAAAATAATCATCCTGTTTAACCAAGTCTTAAAATTCTGTAAGTGAAGTTCAGATTCTTGAAGTTTGTCACACTTTACAGTGTTTCTATTTGTTTATTACAAAAACAAACAAACAAACAAAAACAACCCAAACACAGACACCATGAGACCAGCAGGGAATCTTAGTGTCTAAATAAACTGTGATTACCAGAGAAATGTCATTTCCAGTGAAAATACAGTGTGAGTGTTTGTTGCTGAATAATTTTGCTGAAAGCTGCTGAACATGGTAAAGTTTACTTGAAAACACCAATACATGAAAAGTACTACGAAGAAGCTGAAAGGAGCACAGAAATCTGAAATTATACAAAAAGTAGCTAAAATAAGATAGAAAAAGGCTTAAATTGATTAAAAGAAGAAACTAAAAGTAGCAGAAACATGCTGAAATTAGAAAAAAAAATCTGAAAGGAATGTAAATGTCCTAAATTAGCTGAATAAAGGACGAGGGAGCACAAAAAATGGAATTAGCGGAATATTAACAAAGCAAAAAACAGCTAAATTAGCAAAAACTACCTGAAGGTAGCGGAAAAAAAAACCAAAACACTAAAAGCTAAAAGGCTGCAAGAGCACAAAAACTAATAGGCAAAAAGAAGCTGAAAATAGCACATAAAAGCTGAAATTTGCCTAAAAGTAGACAAAAACTGAAATTAGATGACCAATAGCTGAAATATGGCTAAGAAAGAAAAAAGGCAGAAATTGGCCAAAAGGAGCAGAAATTAACAGAAATAAGCCAAAAGGGCTTTAAAAACATAAACGAAGAACTAAAAGGTGTAATTACAAGAAAGTAGAAGAAATAAGCAGGAAGCAGCTAAAAGGAGCTGAAGAAGCTGAAAATAGCAGAAACAAGTTGCAAAAAGCTGAACCAGAACAAAAGCAGTAAAGGGTTGCAAACAGCTAAAGTCTTTGAAGGACGTGACGAGAGCTCCGTTCATTTTCAACGAGAAAAACATGGCTGACAAAGCTAAATAATCCAAAAAGTAAAACTTGCTCAAATACCAAAAGTCAGAGCAGGAAGGTCCTGAAAGGGCCGAACGTTTTGCTACATGAATCGTTTAAATAGAACAATAATTTTGTAAAATGGATCTCAATAGTGAGAATTCTTATGAAGCATTCACACCATTACAAAAATATTCCCAATATACTGTGGTCTCAAAGGCAACCTGCACACACAGGTAAAACAAATCCCAATTCAAAATCACGTCTTTCATTATTTTGTCTCACCACTGCAGCTTTTCAGAGCATCATCAGTCTACAGTGAACTGGTGCAGGTTCCTCAACTTTAATTATGTAAAAATGTGAGAGCCCTTGCTTCTTTCATTACAAATAAACCCAGGGGCCCAGAAGGGCAGGTACTTAGTTTAATTGGCTCAGTAAAACAAAATCCCAGCCTGGAAGAAACGGTTGTTATTGTTTCTGATAACAATTAGGATGACAGAGTAGAGAGACAGCTCCTCTAATGCTGTTCGTTCATTACCCCGTCCCAGCATGACGCACTTCACCTTAATTCGACCCAACTCAGTTCTACACGTATATAACCGAGTACCGCACTGATGTGGGCGGGTCGACCTACTGTGGCTCCTCCGAAACTTACCGCTAATGAATAACTAAGTGCCACAAAGTCACAGAACACTCACCATTCTTCCATGTTTCCAAAAATACTGTGGCTAACTCGAGGCTAGCTTCCCTTCGCCCATTGGAGCCCATAAACCGAGTCTGTTTGCTCCATTTGAATTCTGTCGTCAGAAACATCTGACCTCCTCATAGTACCAGTGTTGGTTTGTGTGTTGCCATTTTAATCGTTAATATA